GGTTTCAACTTTACTTCATTTTACATGTGAAAATGGCCTCCATTTTGCTCGACATTTTTCAAATTTTTTTATTAGCTTTTATCGGCTAGGGACCTCACAACCAGGTAGAAGAGTTTAAATAAAGCAACTTTACTATTGAAGTCTCCTTCTAATTCAACTTTTATCCTTGAGGAAAGTAGTCCAAAAAATTATGCTCATTATGAAAAATTTGACCTTGTGATGTCATCTTGTTTGCTTACTTGTTTAGTTTGCTTTAGTTTTTGGTTGTTTAAGTTAGATTATTCTCCCTACTTAACACTATTTGTTAGTTAAATTTGATTTGATTTGATTTGATTGTGATTTGAGTAAGTCATTTGATTAGAGATTAGATCATAAATTTTTGTAAACCAAGTTTCTTCTCCTATTGGCTTACTTCACTTGAGTTGATTTCTTGCTTAATTATTAACAAATTGGGTCTCCTTTTATGCCAAACACCATGTCACTTGGTTTGAATAAGATAGGATTACAAAATTAAAAGTTTTTTCTAATTTTCTTATCTTTTACATGTCACATGAGTGCTAAACTTAAAAAATTTGATTTGACTTTTATATTTAAGATTTAGACTTGGTTCTTAAACGAATATAACCTTATTTAGCCCAAAAAATTATCATAAGAATTTTAGAATTTTTTAGAATTATTTCTTTTCCTAAATTGGGCCATCATTCCATGCTTATTCTAGGAATATTTGGATTTTTTAGCTAATTTTGTAATCTGTATTTAACTTTTCATTTTTGTTATTTTTCAATTTATTATAATTTTTGTAATCTTTTAGATGATCTAAAATTATTTTTTAAAAAATTAAGTATTTAATCTCTACTAAAATTAAGTTATTCTATAATTATATTATTTATTCTTTTTTATTAATTAGTCTTTTTTTTAAGTAATTTTTGCTAAATATATTTTAGTTTATAATTTTTTATATATGATCTAATTCTAATTTTTTTAAATTATATGATCGATAATAATTTAAAAATAGTAAAATTTTTGGACTGTTACAAAAATTGTATTGCTAATCTTCCCTCATTTGAAAGATATTTGCAACCCAAAAATTCAAATTTTTTCTCGGAATAAGAATAACAATACAAAGAATTCAAAATATGACAAGTCAATAATCTATGGAGGTAGGTGAGGAAATTACGAGGCCTTCGAATCCACATAATTGCTTGGTCTTGGTTAGGTTAAGTTGTTGGGTTGTTTGATGATTTTTTATTATTATTAAAAAAAACTTTATAAAAATTTATTTGAAGTAGCATTTAATTAATTATAATTTAGTTACTAATATTTTTTTCATTCTTAACAGTTTAAATAATTTAAACTTTTATAAAATAACATTAATCTTTGTTTTTAGTTATAATGTTTTAGTTACTTATTAATTAGTTTTATTAAACAGTTTTAATTAATTCAGCTAGTATAAATTATAAATTGTTTCTTATAAACTATTAACTAAGTTATCAATTATAAATTATAAAGTTTTAAACAAAGATGAATGTGAGACACTTCCATCTAGGGATGGCAATGGGTAGGGTACTACAGTACCCATCCTGCGTTTTAAAAAAATACCCGTACCCGGTCTCATATCTGCGTGGGTATAAATATTAATCTCCGTATTCATACCTTCTGGGTACCCGCATACCTGTCTTGTACCCAGTACTCGCGTTTGTTTGAGAAAAAAATATTTATAAAGAAAAATATGTTTATATAACTTCACATAAGTAGCATAATAATACAAAAATTCAATATGTAGTTACCAAATAAGGTATAAACATAGATAAAAAATAAATATTCAAAGATCATAAATGTTAAATGTATCTTAATATAATAATTTTCTAAACTAAAATTCTTAGAAACAATAAGCAAAACTAAACATATAAGTTATTTGTCAGGGATAATCCTATCTTGTGTGAGATTTGATTGATTGGTAATGTCAGAGCGACAACAAAATAGATCTGTACAATGGTTGTCCCTTCGTGTGGGATCACTTAGTAACCTTTTGTGACGGCATTGACAACTAACTCTAATGAATAACGTTTCATAGTTGTTAAGTTTTAGCGAGACAGACATTGAGAATGAGAATAGAGTTAGAGTAGAGAAGTTCAATACTAACAACAGAAAGTGGATACATAAAATATATTTTTTTAACTTTTGAATTTGAAATTGTAAGAAAAATAATAGATTTAATTAAAATAATATAATATAATTAGTATATATATATATATATATATATTAATACTAGTATTTTTTATTCATATACTATACGAAAGTATTTTATCAAAAATCTAAATTTTTGAAAAATTATTTTAGTCAATTAAATATTTATAATATATATAAATTTTAAAAGAAAGAATTTGAATAAAAGATAAATAGTTACAATAAAATTTTATAATAAAGAAATATACGTGTATATTAAAAAAAATTAACAAATAAAAATTAACAATAATTTTTTATATTTATATCTTTTCAAAAACTTCTTTAATGTGAATAAATAATAAAAATAATATTATTTAAATTCAATATATTATAGTTGTGCTTGTAATACATATGTTGCATAGAAAAATATTATTTTAAATTAAAATATAAAAAATAAAATTTAAATATTATTAATAAATCATAAGTTTACGGTAATAGTAGGTGATTGTAAAATTTATAATATATTTATTATTTATCATTCACTTTATGATTTAAATATCAATATGATTTTATTAACAAAAATATTTGTGTAAAAAATATTTTATGTGTGTCATATATAAATAATATTTTTTAAAAAGTCAATTTCATATTAACTATATAATAATTAAATTGTATTAGTCTAATTAAATGATATAAAATAGTAAATAAATTTTTCTATTAAAAATATAAATTAAAATAAATTTTTTGGTTTACTTTATTATTAAATATATTTTTATATTAATCTTATATAACTTCACATAAGTAATATAATAATACAAAAATTCAATGCATAATTATAGAATAAAGTTCAAGCATATATATATATATATATATATATATATATATATATATGCGGTTATAGGACGGGGTGGGGTACTTAGATACCCATCCCGCACCCATCCCCATTAAAATTTATAGATTTTTACCCATACCCATACCCGTACTCGTATAACGAGTAAATACCCTACCTATTGTGGGTAAATTTTGCGGGTGCCTATCGGTACTTTACCCATTGCCATCTCTACTTCTATCGTTTGAAAAACAATAATTTAGGGATTAATACAGTCTTTAAGGAATGCAATTCGTTGGAAGAAAAAATTGCCATCCCTGTTGAGAATTGAGAGGTGACTTCGGTTGAGAGAGTAAACTTCCTATTATGTCCTTAATTATTATAAAAAATTTATTACTATAATGTCCTTTATATAATATTTTTTATAATTCCTTTAAAAAAAAATTCATATTAGTCATCTTTCTGTCTATTATGCTTCAAAACTTCTCAATAATTAAATTTTAAAAAATGTTAGCATCAATATTAAAAACTAAATCAATCAATAATAATAAAATTTTATTAAAAAATATTCATTATGCTTTATAATTTTAATGCAATAAATATTTTTTAATAAAAATAATAATATCTAATGTTATCAATATATTGAATTTTTTATATTATATTATTTTAAATAAAGATTCACTATATAATATTTTATTATATATCTTAAATACACATTAAAAATTCAATAAACTATTAAATATTTATATTTTTAAGATAGTAAATACATATACTTTTTTTATTTAATATTGATTACTTTATAAAGAAAAAAGAAGATATACCACATTTATCTCTCAATTTTTTTTCTCTCTTTTATACAAACAATTTTTTTAATACATGTCAAAAAATATGTTAAAAATATTAAATATATTTTATTGAATTATTTAATTATTATAAAATATATGCACTAAATTATTTTTTAGAATTTTGAAATAGTAAATATTTTTATTTTTAATAAATTTTTTACTTTTCTTAATATGTGCTACACCCATTGAAAATATTACTATTTCATATTTAAAATTAACACAACTTCTTTTCTATCATTAATGTCCTTTGAAAAAGGAGGAAGAGTTTACGCGGTTTAAGACTTAATGCAGGACGACTTGCTCACTTTGGTCAAAGTCAATTAGCTTTTTCTCCATGTTATTTCTTAGTTCTTATAAATATTAATTGGGTTGTGTTAATTAATATTTTAAGGACACTAACTAAAAAATTAAATGTATAAATTTTTATTAAAAATTATACAAAGATATAAAAGTGAGTATCTTTTAATGCTTTTTAATAAAAAAAAGTATATATATATATATATATATATATATATATATATTTAACTAACATCATCAAGACATTGATTAACGTCTTTTATTTTAAAATTAAGTATTATTAATTCCATATTTTAAGATAAGATTTCTTTTTGTTAGAATTTATTTTTTTTACTAGCATTTTATGAAAAATCAAAAGAAATAATCTTCAATTGTTAATCAAGAGAATACAAAAAAAATAAAATAGTTACTAAAATCAAATGAAAATATTTCTAGTGATTGAACTAAATTTTGAGATATTTGAAACAAACAAAAATATATTTAAGCAATAAATACAGTATACATATTGATGTTGAATTGAATCATTATAAGTTAACTTGATACTTAATAAAAATTATTTAACAACAGGACTAACATTATTTAAAATTATTAAAAGACTCAAAACCTAATATTAAAAAAACTAAAATCAAAATTTATTTTATTTTTTTAAAAATAAAAAATTTATTTAAGCTTTAATTTATTCTACCATTGAGTACATATGGATCATCAAATAAGAAATTGTTCCAGCTTATCTAAAAGAAAAACTTCAATTTATTCCATCATCTTCACCATTGTCAATAATAATGGAATATATAATTTGAGCCTTGTTAACTGCTTCTATACACCAGTGGTCACATCTCATTGCATACACAACTAAAACAACTATGGGTTTTCAAAGGCCACTTTCACTCATTTCCCTCTTTGTTACGCTAACCTTCACATATCAAGCCACTGCACAGCTAAAATTCATAGATAGTTGTAACAATTGGATGGGAAACTACACAGCTAGAAGCACCTACAAGAACAACCTCAATGCCCTTCTCATCAATCTCACTTCCAACACAAACATTGACTATGGCTTCTTCAATTTTTCTTATGGCAAAAGTCCTGACATAGTGAATGCAATTGGTCTCTGCAGAGGAGATGTTAGCCCACAAGAGTGCCTTAATTGTCTCAATGATTCAAGAGTTCAGCTCACAAGAAAGTGCCCAAATCAAAAAGAGGCAATTGGTTTTGGTCTTGCATGCATGCTTCGTTACTCTAGCCATTCAATATTTCACATTATGGACCCTCAAATTGAATACTATGAGTGGACTGGAATCAATGCAACAAAGGTTGAGCAGTTCAATGGGGTACTCATGAATTTGCTGAATGGTCTAAGAAGCAAAGCTGCATCTGGTGACTCCCTTCACAAGTTTGCTGCAGGCATGGATGGATCCTCCCTCTCCCTCCCCCTCATTTTTTTTTCTTCTTAATTTCAATATAGGTTTTAATCCTTTATATAAAAAAGTGTAATCTTATAATTAATTATAATATAACAGTGTTGTTAGCATTAGCCATTAAAACTAATTTTAAGTGTGTTGTTCAAAAAAATTATAGAGAGCTTATGAAAACAGCCTGACTCCCATAAAATCTTTTCAGCTTATGTCAATGAGTTTTTTATGATCTAACTTATATGGTATAAACTCCTTATGCAATAACAAGTTGTTCTCCAAACACAAATTAACTTTTGTATTTTTATGCAATAAATATTTTTTTTCATAAAACCTATCAGTTTTAATTGTTTAAGTGTGTGTTTGGAAAATCACTAAAATTATGTTAAACCACGTTTTAACATAAAAGCTATAACTTATAAAGTTAGAATGAATTCATGATGTTAACATTTTTCTTAATATATTATATCTGCAGGAAATGTCACAGGACCAAGTTTTCAAAATATATATGCTCTTGTGCAGTGCACACCTGATCTGGTTGAGCAAGATTGTAATGATTGTTTGTTTGGGGCATTCTCAGAAATCACAAAATGTTGCAGTGGCAATAGAGCGGTAAGAATTGGAAGGCGTAGTTGTAATGTTAGATTTGACACCAATCGCTTCTATGGACCTATAAATGACACAACACCTTCTCCTCATGTGCAACCTAACTATAACACACCAACTAAAGGTACAAAAAGTGTCTCAAATTGTGGTCTAGTTTGGCTAAATCAGACAATTTATATATATTTGTAGATTTATATTACAACCCTTCTATTTTTGGAAAAGTATTTGTCTTACAGTATCTTTATTCTTATAATTAGAGAAAAGTTGCATAATTTTTCTCATTTCAAATTTATGTGTCAGTCTCATTTTTTTATATGTAAATTGTTACTTTTATAAATAACTCTCCATTTTAATGCAGGTGTCTCTCTCTTGTACTTAACAGATTTTATCTTATAACCCACTATGCAACAGTTGCTTATTTTAAGCAACTCTTACTAAAATTGCTCTTACATCACTTGTTGTCAAATCATCTAACATAGAGTTGAAGAGAGAAAGCAAAAACAAAAACAAAAAACAAAAAACAAAAATATTTTCTTATAAATGTAAAGGTGGGGGTAAGAAATTATGTGTGTTCCTATTTCTGTTGAATTACTATTTTCTTTCGTTTCTTTGTTTTTCGTTATTAATCTGTTTATTTTTGTATCGGTTACCATTTCAGTTAGAAGGCTTTATCGTCTTTTTTTCAGTCTTAAACTTGAGTCTACAATTTTTTTTCCTTTTTTTTTTTTTTTGCAGGACACAGCTACACATTAAGGACTGTCATCATCATAGTTGTTGCAGCTGCTTCCCTTGTCACACTATTCGTCTTTATTTGTATATATTTTGCATTAAAGGGTCCAAGGAAATATAGTGAAGGTAAGTCAAGGTAGTTTTTTTTTTTTTTTGGCGATGTGTTATTAGTTGATAGTTATTGCATTGTTGAAATTAATTTCTGATTTAGGATATAACATAGTTTAGAGAAATTTGAGCTACCAAAATTTTCATAGAATCATAAAATGTTGAGTTATTTTAAATAGTCAAGTGCAAGACAACAGTAGTTAAACCATAAAGAGTAGAAAATAAAAAGACATGGATGGATGAAGACATCAAGTATCTTGAATTCACTTGTTAAAAGCCATCTACAGGTGAAACAGAAGCAAATGTTGAAATTAAAATTGAGGAGCCACTGCAATTTGATTTTGACACCATAGAAGTAGCTACAGATAGCTTCTCTGATGCAAATAAGCTTGGTGAAGGCGGATTTGGACCTGTTTACAAGGTTAAAAACAATTTCATTGAAATATAACCTTTTGTAAGTGTGGTAGCTAATGGCTACGCTGCTAACATGAAATAAATGTGTTCAGGGTATGCTCTTCAATGGACAAGAGATTGCTGTCAAAAGGTTATCAAAAGCTTCTAATCAAGGAGATATTCAGTTTAAGAATGAAGTCATGTTGGTAGCCAGGCTTCAACACCGAAATCTTGTTAAGCTACTTGGTTTTTGCTTGGAGAAAAGTGAGAGACTACTTGTTTATGAGTTTCTTCCCAATAAAAGCCTCAATTACTTCATATTTGGTAACACTTAAATTGGGTTGTGTTCTATTTCTGTTAGTTCATTCATGCAGCAATACTACTTTACAGGATTGAATCTTGTTTTGCTTATGTAGATCCAACCAACCACAAACTCTTGAATTGGGAAAGGCGCTACAAAATTATAGAAGGCATTGCTCGAGGTCTTCTTTACCTTCATGAGGATTCTCGACTGCGAATTGTTCATCGTGATCTCAAGTTAAGCAATATTCTCCTAGATCAAGAGATGAATTCAAAGATATCTGATTTTGGCACAGCAAGATTGTTATGTGAGGATCAAACTCAAAGTGATACAAGTCAAATTGTGGGAACCTAGTAAGTATTGAAATAAATACCTAGAGCCTATTTGCTATTGTAATGATTCTCAATTGTAATAAGGGTCTTGCTAACAAGTGCCCTGAGGAAACTTTCTAAAGAACATTAGTATACACTCACTTGAATGCCTCCAATTACTTTAAGAAACATTTATTAAATACTTTTTGTGATTTAGATATAATAATACTTTCTTTTCTAGTAAATATTTAACTAGTGCCTTTAAGACACTGGTTAGTTTTTCCTCATAATAATAGTTTCTTCAAACTTTGTAAAAGGTGGGAAAACATGAAGATCATGCTTAAGCAAACTAGTTAAAGTTGTATTTGATTGTGTTTGATCATGTTGGAATGCAGTGGATATATGGCACCAGAGTATGTGAATTATGGACATTTCTCTATGAAGTCTGATATCTTTAGTTTTGGTGTGATGGTTTTAGAGATTGTAAGTGGCAGGAAAAATGTGCTAAGCTTTGTAAGTGTTCTGCCCCACTCTCCCCCTTATTATTTTCTTTAGGATGCATTTTTTATTGAAGGTTTATCTAATATGTGAAATAATTGCACTTCCAATATCAAAATTTTATAATGATTTTTCTAAACATTCAGGCATGGAAAAATTGGAGGGCAGATACAATTACTAAGATTATTGATCCCTCAATAAATGATGTTTCAAGAGATGAAATAATGAGATGCATCCACATTGGATTACTATGTGTTCAGGAAGATGTGGCTGACAGACCCACAATGGCTTCAATTGTACTTATGCTCAACAGCTATTCTACCACTCTTCCAGTACCTTTGCTCCCCACATTTTATATTAGTGGAACAAGTTTATCAGATAAAGATTCAAGTGAGAATAATTCAGGGTCAACAACAACTGGTGAATCCAGAAGTAACATCAACCAAGTGTCAGCAAATGAAGCTTCCATTACTGAGCTATCACCTCGCTAAGTTTAGTTGTTGAGTTTGAACAATAACGTCACATAACTCAAATGTCACAATAATATGGATTTTGTTTATACGATTTTTCTAATGTGTGCTCAAGGCCACAAGAAGAAATTAATAAATTATAAGTTGTTATTAGAAATTATAATGTTTAATATTATTAGTGCATTGAATCTTTTAATATCTTGTAATTTTTAATAAAAATTTACTATAGTCTATTTTGGATAAACTTTTAGATAAATATTTATAGAAAAATAAATAAAATTTTCTCATAACTAAAATTATCTTATTTGATCGAACAAACGGTTGATTTACGTGCTACATTTCTGATTCCCTTTAAAAAGGGTCTTAGATTTAAGTAATTTGTGGGTAGAAAGCTACTCAAGTAAAACTATTTGGTTATTATGAAAATAACAATAATAAATATAAACTATAAATAAAGGACAAATATAGGTGTTTTTAGTGCTATTTTTTAATGAAAATTCAAGTTTCACATTGGTAATCTGCAATAACATCAAATATAAATCATATTAAAATAAAACTATAAATTCGATACATAAACAATACCTAAAAAATAGCATATAAGTTTTTTTTAAATAGTTAAGATTAAAAGATAATTGCATGTAACTTTTTAATTAATCATGTGATTACTTATTAATTACAAAGTCTAAATTCATCCTTCTCACACTTTTAAATAAGAATTGTTTTCATTAGATAAAACTCTTTGAGACATACCCTGTGAGAACGCTGGTTTATTGTGAGAAATGAGAACACAGCAATAATTATTAGATTAAAGCTAATGGGTCGGATTAATTTGGAATTTAAACATCTTCATGTGGCCTTCTATACAAAACAAACATTGTTTTCTTAAATTCCGCATCCTCCCATAAGTTCTTGATGAAAACTGTTTCCTGAAATCTCTAAAATTGGTGCTGCCCATATTTTAATTCTTATGATCCCTAAACATTGCCGAAAGATCATGATTGTATAACCAGAATTTTTTTCCTTCCGCGACAATGCTAACTTACTTGACTAATCATACTCACCTTTCTTTGACTCATCGAAAGAGGTGAAATATGAAGAGACAAAGGAACGAACTCTAATGCCCAAAGGCAGTATATATTGGAGAATGCGATATCGTAGGAAAATCATATTTATTTTGTGCAGAGGATCACATGAGCATATTTTAATTTCTAAATCTGACCCTTTAGTTTTAATATAACTTATTATTATGTTTTCTCATTTCTTACAATAGACCAATAATTTTATGGATCTGAATCATCTCTAGTTTGTATGAAAGAGTATTGCTTTCCATGTTAAGCATGCTTTTCATATTGATTGCATTGACACGTGTAATTCAACTTGTCCTCTTTGTAGGGGAACTCGCCTTTAAAAACTCAGTTTTTGACTTTGAGGGTCCACATAAGGAAAATGGAATTTCAAGCAATGGTAGGGGTGTTTTCTGTCACATAGTGAATGGGAAAAGATTGTTTCTGTCAGGCTTGGAAAATGTAGAAGCACAAATGATAGAGTAGAGAAAGGTGGAGGAGAGCTCAACCATTACGATTTAAATGTAAGATGGTATTTAATGAGGTCTTCTCAGTGTGTGGTTGATGATTCAAAGTGCAAATACGTTCCTTCTAGGACTCATGGGAACAAGCACTAATGTCCTTGCTATAGGACAAGTTCAACAAGAAGGGCAAGTCCAAATGCCCTTAAACTCAAAAACAGCACATGTGAGGTGGCTTAAGCAAAAATTTATTAAAATCATTCAGTTAAATAAAAAATGAGATTGAATGTCCTATTTTCACGTAAATTGGAAAGGATCCGAATCCGTGTTCTCACGCTATATGCCCCTCTCCTGTACACACTCATCTAAACAAGAAATTGGGCCCCTTGAGGGAACTTCTAAAATGACAACAGGAGCATGAGGTCATGGCGAATGATTGACTAGTAAGACTTGATTAATTACTTACCATTAGTTAGTTCTCTCGCATTCAACATTTTAATCTTAATTGACTTTATAGGAACTTTTTCAAAATAAATAAAAAGATAAAATAACAAACAAAATAAACAATACTTTTCTGAAAGAGAAAGGACACGTTGAGTGAAATGCTAAAAGCTGATTGAAAAAACCAAGACCTGGAGTATTTCTATTACAAATTACACTGCATTAAATGAAAAATTAACCGCCCTACTTACAACAACCATTAATCCGCGTTTTAGTACTTTATGCTAAGCATTAAACCAGGAAAGCAACAGCAGATATAATGGCACTGCTCAACTTCCTTTTCCTTGCTGGATTTGCTGAAGAAGAACAGCAGCAAGCTGTAGTGTTGCTTGCAGACGTTTCTGTGGATCTGCATCAGCATCTTCCTGCAAGTTACTATCTGTCAACTGCTGATTTCCATTAGCCTCTCTTTGAGGTTCCCTTTGAACCATCTGTGGCAGAGGAGGTACATTTGACATCTGCTGTTGCTTTTGTAATTGTAGAACTTGACCAAACTGAGATGTTGAGAGATCAGAATTCACCAGATTGTTTTCGGTAGCATATTTCTGGGATGGTCTGGATGAGGTGTCCGACACATTAAATCTGTTAATCTGCCTAGGATCACCTGATGCAGATGCACTTAGAGAGCTTCCTGATTGCCTCTGCTGCTCAAGAAGAGTTGCAGCTAATTGCGCAAGCTGTTCGGGTTGAAGGGCTCCCACAGGCACTGATAAAGGATCTAAATGTCTTATATCAGGGTAAGATGACTTGCTGTTACCATAAAATGGAATACCAGAGATTCCACTGGAATGTTGAATTGAGTTTACATCTGGCACTACCCTTGGAATGATGGGTTGGCGTTCTTCGGCAAGAGGTTCAACGGCACCACTTGATGATTGCAATGATAAAGTTCTACTAGAGATTAAGTTCTGCAGATTATGCGAAGACCAATTTGGTCCAGACATCCGTTGCTGGATAGGAGGATAGTCACGACCTCTTTCATCATGAGACTCAGACATGTTAATAACCATGGCACGAGCTGAATCAGAAGCTGCTGCAAATTTATTTCCGATAAATGAAAGATTGCTGGTTCCAGAACTACCCAATTCTGAAATAGACGGAGATGTAGGTACACGTGCTGACGGAAATGATGACTTTGAATGCAGTATATTCTCATTATAGGACACCAGGTTTTCATTTGTCATTTCTTCTTGAACGTGTACTGGACCATGATTTAAACCAGGATTCTCCAACCTCAGAATAACACCAGATATACTCAATTTACCAGGTACCTTCAGTACTTTCTCTGAGAACTCTGATGGAGGTACAAGAAATAAGGTGGTTTTGTCATCCAACTTGGCAACTGCTGCGCGCTGCTTTTCCTCAAGATAATGCATAAATTCATTGTACAATTCAATGTCAGCATCACTTCCAGGCACAAAGAAAACAACCCAAACACCAACTGCTTGGTAGTAATGCTTTGAAAGCATGTCTAGACCAGTTCTTGCAGTGCAATCCAAGAATTCAGGTCTGGAATCAATATATTGACATTAACACCCAACATAAAACAATTGAGAGGAAAATAATGACAGTAAACTTCTTTGGCAGTGTGCTAAGTTGCATGGTTGTGATGTAAATGACTGCATTTTAATGCCAGAGTTTTCAATACGAATTCTCAATTACAACCATTTTGTGGGAGTTGATGTTTTGGCTTCTATGTTGCTGTCAGCACATGGGTTTATTGTGGGGAGTTTTTTATTGTCTATTTACAGAGGGACGGAGGGATGGGGGCATGGGAGAGCTTCTTTTGAGCTGATTAATTTTTCATTCTTTCTTTTTTGGTTGCAGTAGGAGGCTTTTCTATCTTCCTATCCTGTTCTTTTCTATCATTTCACAAGTTCTTTTTTTAATGAAGAATATTGTTTCATTTTTAACATTAATAAGATACTGTATATATGTTTTAACATAGTCGCATAATTGCGTAATAAGACAATTTAAAGCCACACACGAGCTAGCTCAAGCACAATAAATTTCTCAAACAAAATTTTCTTGTTTATTTAACAAACCAACTTGGCCATTATATACTTGGACGCCTAGATTAATTTTATCTCTTATTGCATATCTCCTAGTTTCTCAACTTTCTCTCAATTCCTTTAAATTAAATTAAACCAGTAAAAGCCCGAGTCATGACTGTGATGCATGTGAACTAACTGTCAACAAATTTTAAAAAAGTAAATGAAAATAATAAAAATAAAGCCCTTGAGCATTTATTTGAAATCCTTTCATGGATATTGTTAGATTGCACCTTAAAACCAATTGGCATTAAATGAAGTGGTCCAACAGGTATACAAATCCCATCCAGTAATTGAGACAGGCGATGTGGAACTTTCCAACAGATATCAAACAACATATAATTCGGTACCATTCCATTTTATTCCACAACATTCCATCCCTTTTCATGAATCCAAACATAGCATGAAGTTTCTGCTTATTTTACACGTTACCTACTAAAAATATATCCTTCCCTGGGTAAGTTGAGAAAATGTTATACTTCCATTACATTACAGTTAACTAAAAAGTCAATGTTTTCAACTTAAAACTAAATTTGTGGTTTAAGCGACAAAACACGGAAGAGGGAGTTTATTAGAAAAACAATGAAACTATGGGAAGGTAAGTATAATTTACCCGTACAAACATCCTTGTACAGTAAAAATTAACTTCAAAACTTGGGCTGAGAACCAATGAGGCAATGTTTTCAATAGAAGTTAAATTAACTATAAGCTTTAAGATAATTAAAATGTCTATAAAGCTATATCAGCATATGCTCTTTTCCAGGTAATCAAATTAAAATGTCTTTTACTCCTTTCAAAAGCAGTGCTATCTCATGAGTCATAGTAATATTTGACTAGCTAAGAAATAGAAAAACTAAAATTATTTCAAGGTAGATACAAGACAATCTAAATCTAAAAAAAAATATTTTAAAAGGAATATTTAACACTTACAACATCATGTCTAGGACTTTCCCCACAGGGAAGCAGCGTGCACGACAAACAGGGGTTCCACCTTTGGCAATGGTTCCTTCCCATTTCCACTCACTTAAAGATGAACTATCAGGTTGAGGTGTGAGTCGCTTCTTCTCAACAAAAGTTGATTGCAGAGCACCAGGACCCATTTCGAAACTATCATATGGTTTCCAACCTTCATGTCTATCTAAACGAGGCAGAGGTGAATTTGGAGGGTGATCAAGCGTCTGTCCATACGTAAAATTTCCAGCATCAAAGCTTTTATCAAAAGGCTCATGTTGGGGAAAATCAGATAATAATCTTGGGAAAACACGTTTCTGCCTTTCTAACTCAGAGAAAGGATACTCCGGAAGCTCTCTTTCAGGAGGAGGAGAAGCAGTCCTTAGCTTTTTAGCCTCACGTAGATAGGGAACATCAGGCAAGGCACGCAGATCATCAAAGAATGCACCCTTTTGAGGAAATCTGTGTGGGAAATCACCCACATGAGCATGTCTTTCTCTAGATGGACTATTTATATCCTCATAGATTTCTTGTGATACTCCTAGTGTTCTCCCCTTCTCTCCAACTTTCCTTTGCTCATATGAGTTAGTCCCACCAGCCCATGAAGAACCTCTTTTGTTAAGATCATAAGCATCAGAATCCCAATTTGGGAAATGGTTTGGAGAACTAATGTTGCGATCTACATTGAAGCTCCTATCCTGCCTGAGATTCTCAGAAGATCCATCGCGAACACTTGACTTGTAAATTGGGGAACGAGGAATATTAAATGAGCTCCTGCCGTTGCTTGATGAACCTGTTTCACTCTTGGCAAAACAAATATGTACACGGGGATTCCCAAATAACTTTCCCTTCAGATTATCTTTTGCTCTGCACGCAGACGTCAGACTCCTAAAACGAACAAAGGCATAACTCCGACCTGGAAATGTAGTAATCTTCACTATCTCACCAAATGGAGAAAAAGCCTTTCTTAAAATTGACTCATCCACCTTCAACTGAGCTGGGAACCCAATCCACAAAACTTCACTGGGATCTGGATTTTTATCACTCGGCTTGGATTTATCAGAGTAATGTGGTTCAGGGCTACCATGGCGTCCTCTAAACTCTCTTTGAGAGAAAGGAGATCCCCTTAATGTTGAGTTCCGCTCATCCCACGAGTAATCTTCATCACGTGGAATTGTTGATGGCTTATCCTGTGATGAAGAACATAACTAATTGTGAAATTACCATACATTTCAAACATTTAGATTTTAAAACCTTGAAAGAAGAATACTAGTTCCATAACAAGATCTACATAACCAGATGACAACTATGAAGATTAAGTGATTATCAACATCCAACATCCTGAAGCACTAAGAATTTAGTTAACTAATGAGCACTTTTTGCATTCACAGCTTGCTTAATATAAATTAAACTGTGCTCCTAGTGATAGCATGACACACTAAAGGCATAGAAGTGGAACAAGTCTAAAATTGCACCATCAAGACTTGGGCACAAATCCAACCCGAAGACATTACACAAGGAGATAATTACTAATAGAATAATGACAATAGTTATATGAACTATGACGACTTGACCTAAAGAGTAACAAAAAGAAGGTACAAACAAAATACAACAATACAATCAACCACTCCAATGTACCATCAAGTACAGCCCAACCTTATCTTACGAGATAGAATCGACTGTATGGATCAATCAATACCTTTAAGCTCTATTATAAACCAATGTACCATCAACAAAGTTTTAATATCAACTTCTAAGTTCTAACTGCTTAACACAAACCTCCAATGTTTTCAACGCACAACAATGAAATGTCTTCACACTTCACAAGCAGAAAATGATAAAACACCCAAACGTGATAGCTTCTTGTCAACATTTTGAAACCGAAAACATCCCCACATCTCATCCTTCTTTGAACTCAAAACAAAGTCTAGGATTTCATATTAGCAAAAACTAAGAAAATAGCACAAAACAAACAACCACAAGTTCACTTTCTTTTTCATCTGGATCATGTAACACACAAAATGCATTGTACTTAATTTTTCAAAGTGGAACTTCAGTTAAATATGATAAATATTAGGGTTTATAATGATAAATATGTTGATTATCCACATTATCAAGCATACACGGATATCTTTATTATTACTACCACAATCCATTTCTTTTAATAGAACCAACCCATATGTTCATATTCATTAATCACTTCATTGCACCAAGAATATCAGTATGAAAAATTCTACACTCATAAAAGAGGGTGGTAAGACCTAGAGCTATAATTTTCTATTTTAACAATGCTGTATCGAATTGTTTACCACATACAGTACAGAAGCAATTGACCCTTCTAATCATTCACAGAAAGAAAAATGCATCCATCAAATCTGGATCAGATGCATGTATGATTCAGGGAACATTAATTATTAATATATTAGCAGGAGAATTCAGGAAGGAACAGGGAAAGTTCTTTGTTTTCATTTAGTCTTAATATGAATAGAGAAAGACAAATAAATAATAAGTGAAGCTCAATTTCAATTTCCAAGTCAGTAAAGAAAAAGATACCCTTCCATTTCATTCCTGTCACTAATATATGAAAGTATCTAATATTATCTTGATCATATCATCAAACATCATAGATTCTATCATATGTCACTTGGGTTCTTTCTCCCTCTCAACATGGTATGAGAGCCCTATCATCCTCCATGACCTACCCTGTCACTACTCCATTGCTGAGCTCCCTAAAATTCAGGGTTCTAATTTATTTGCATGATTCTTCTTTAAAATTTCATATTAGTCATCTCTCTTGCCATGTTACTTAAGATTTTGGCAAACCTCTCGTGAAGTAGCTTTTGAGAGTGAATTAGAGTTGATTTTAAAATAGTTGCCTATATTGATGATGACATAGTGATAACCAAGTGTGACACCTCTAGCAAATTGAAACTAGAACTTCCTTCAAACAAAATTTCAAATTTTTGCCTTGGGATTACAACTATAAGTAGAAAGAGCATTTTTCTCTCACGGTGGAAATATGTCATTGATCCTCTCTAATGTTGTTATGTTAAAAACTAGGCCTAGTGATACTACAATGATTCTAAATGTTAGCCCCAAAGCAAATGATGACAAATCACTATTAGATTCTGTTGATATGTAAATATAGTAATTAGGCATAATTGATGTATAATTATAGTAATTAGGCCAGTAAAACAGCGTAATTACAGCATGATCAGGATTACCTTTATTAAAATAATAATCTATAATTAATGTAGATTCCCTTGTATAAATTCAGACCCTTGGGTCATATGCAATGTACAGAAAAAAGAAAACACATTCAAGTATCAGATTCTATATCCGAATGGACTAAATAAAAGGGAGACAGCTCTATTATTGATACAACTCAACAATCAAGTACCTTATTCCATTTTATTTCCTGCTCAACCATTTGTGGCAACCCCCTTCCCACTTCCTCCTGGCAGTCGTGGGAGGGGACGTAGTAACACCTATTCTCGTCTGTATCCTCGCTGTGCCTACTGCAAGCATTATGGCCATCTTGAGGCTCAGTGTCACACCAAGGCTAGAGCCCAGAATCCTAGTATGAATCCTGCCCATATGCCATCTCCAGCCCCTACCATATCTTCTCATATTCCTGTGCCTACATTGGAATACTAGGACTATCTCTGATACAGAGCCGCCATACAGTCAGATCCGCCTACCACCCCACAGTCCGCTCACCTGGTTGCCTCTATAGCCAAACAGGTACTCCTGCTACCTGTGTTTCCCAATCTTCATCCCTTGGTCCTTGGGTTCTTGATTCTGACGCCTCTGATCACGTCTGGTAATGTTTTCCTTTTCTCACAAATCACTTATCTTGATTCTCTTCCTCCTGTCACTTTAGCTAATGGTTCTCAAACCAACATCACTGGCATTGGTAATACTACCCTTATCCAAGGTCTCTCCTTAGAGTCAATTTTATTTGTTCCAAATTGCCCTTTCAATCTAATTTTCATCAGTAAACTTATTTGTTCGTCCACTTATCCAGTTCTTTTCAGTAATAACTCTATTCTTGTGCAAGATTGGATTACCGGACAGACGATTGGAGTAGGATATGAATCTTGAGGATTGTATTATCTTATTGCACCAACTCCGATTGCTTGTTCGGCTATTGAATCCCCTGCTCTTTTTCATCAACGACTGGGTCATCCAAACCTTCAGAAACTGCATATCATGGTTCCACACTTACCCAAAACATACACCATAGACTGCGAGTCATGTCAGTTATGAAAACATATATGAACTTCTTTTCCAAGTAGTGTCAATAACAGAGCTGTGTCTCCCTTTTATTTAGTCCATTCGGATATTTAGGGTCCGAGTCGTATTACTTCTACCTTAGGATATCAATATTTTGTTACTTTTATAGACGATTTTTCTCGTTGCACTTGATTATTTCTACTTAAAAATCATTCCGACGTTTTCTCTGTATTTCAGAAGCAAAAGAACGAAAAAATTGTCACTTAGTTAAAACAGCCCGCACTCTCCTTATCCACTACAAAGTACCACTCCGCTTCTAGGAAGATGCTATTCTTACTGCCTGTTTTTTAATCAACCGCCTCTCTGCCTCCGACTCCTGCACAGGAACTCCCTATTGCTTTGTGCAAAGGTGTCAGGTCTCGTTGTAATCCTAATCCTATTTATGCTTGTCATTTGAATTATAATTGTATATCTCCTTCCTACTCTGGTTTTGTGTCCTCCTTGGATTCTGTGTCTATCCCACAGACTATAGATGAGACGTCTGATCTCGACTAGCGAAAGGCAATGGGAGATGAGATAGCTGCCTTACACTCCACTGGCACATGGAACCTTGTTCCTCTCCCTCCAGGAAAGACCATCGTTGGCTATTGTTAGATTTATGCTGTTAAGGTTGGCCCTGATGGAAAGGCCAGATTAGTAGCCAAGGGCTATACCCATATATCAGTGGCCCCTCCATCAGTTAAACATCAAAAATGCCTTCCTCCACGATGAATTACAGGAAGAAGTTTATATGGACCAGCCTCATGGCTTTACTACCCCTGGCCCCTCTCCCTTGGTTTGTCGCGCGCTCCTTGTATGGCTTAAAGCAATTCTCATGTGCTTGGTTCATCCGCTTTAGTACTATCTTACAACAGTTTGGCGTGACTCAATGTGAGGCTGATTATTTTGTTTTCTTTCTCCATTCTTCAAAGCATACATGTATCTATTTGGTGGTGTATGTAGATGATATTGTCATCACTGGCTGTTAGGGTCCAGAATCTATACTCAGGTAACTGAAGAAAAAGAAAAGGATATTTTATTGATTATGATAGGAATTAGGATTACAAGAATCCCCCAGAGCCAAAGCTCCTCTCAGAGAATGTTATTCTTCTCCTCTCCTAAGTCTAACCAAAAAACTCTACTCTTAATTCCTCAAACTAACAATTTAAATAAAAAACAATGAAACTAACCTAATCTAATAACAGAATATCTTAATTGACTTATTCAAATTATTATGTGTGAATCATTCATTCAATCAGATAAAATTCAAGGAAGCTTCACCAAAGCAGCTATGGTTTTATAACCATTATCTCCTTTATACTGCCTCAAACCCAACTTTCCATAGAAGTATAAAACACAGAACCCTGTTGCCACTTCATTCAGGAAGGATCCACTAGGATTTATATCCACATGTTAGGATTGAAGTGCTTGTTGACATCCTCACGAAGGCACTAAATGGAAGATTAACTATCTCTATTACAAGTAGTGTAGTAAACATGTTTTTAGTTCACTTGAGGGTAATTATGCCCTTTGTCATATCCTGTACTACTAGCCTAGTTTACACAGCATATATGTTCTACAACCACATTGAGCACATTTTTTCTCTTATTTCACAGCCTCTTATGATGATTTATCTTACTCTACTAAGTCCTGTGTAGATTTTCTTGACTTTCACTATTCCTACCATTGTCATTAGAACCTATCTCATGAGGGATGGCATATGGCTATGTTGGATGAAATGCATGCCTTCAAATTGCATAACACTTGGGATTTGATTCCTTTACCTAATGATTTATGCAATTTGATTCCTTTACCTAATGAGAAATACACAATTGGATGAAAACAGATGTACACTGTAAGGGTCAACCTTGATTATTTTGTGGTTCACTTCAAAGCCCATCTGCTCGCTATTGGT